GGGTTTTCAAATTTTCCGAAAGTACCTAGTATGGAAGCTCGGTAGGGGTCGAAATTTAGGACATGAATCAGGAGTGAGTTTTCGAGACATTTTTTATCATATCTCCAAAACTATGGAGATTTTCTAAAAACATATTGAATAGAAATTGTGTAGAATTACAAGATCTTTTACATGATATCAAAGAAAAAGGGCTGACTCATCACATTAGGGGCCGAGAGGGGCCGAAAGTCTTCAGTCAATAGCTCTTTAACAATCAAAATTTTGTAATGCATTACTGAAGCAAAAATGTTTATCTCAACAATTTACAACTATATATTATAATATTCACATCATATGTTACAAAATTAGGGGCCATTAGGGGCCAGAATGCAAAATCTTTGACGCTTTATATTTCAAAAATGGGAAATATTTTGATAAGCAATATTGAACAAAAGATGTTCAAAATAATGTTCTAAACAATATGCATTGTCTCATTTTTCTCTAAACGTCCCCATTAAGGAGTTAAAGGGCCGGCCCCTAAATTCTTCTTTTGCTAATATCTCGGAACGAAAAAGAATTCCTGAATAGTTGTTGAACGAAAAGTGTTCAAAATCATAAGAGCTTTAAAGTGGTATGAAGAAAAAGGAGCTGGCTCCTCAAAATAAGGGCCGAGAGGGACCGAACGTCTTTTATCAATAATTCATTAACGATCAATATTTTGTAATGCATTACTGAAGCAAAAATGTTAATATTAACGATTTACAACTACATATTATGATAATCACATTATATGTTACATAATTAGGGGTCATAAGGGGCCAAAATGCAAAATCTTTAACGCTATATATCTCAAAAGTGTGAAATATTTTGATATGCAATACTGAACAAAAGATGTTCAGAATAATGTTCTGAACAATATGCAACCTTTTATTTTTTGCTTAACGTCACCAATAAGGAGTTAAAGGGCCGGCCCCTAAATGTTTCTTTTGCAAATATCTGGGAAACGAAAAAGAATTTCTGAATAGTTGTTGAACAAAAAATGTTCAAAATCATAAGAGCTTTAAAGTGATATGAAGAAAAAGGGACTGGTCCCTCAGAATAGGGGCTGAGAGGGGCCGAAAGTCTTTGGTGAATAACTCTTTAATGCTCAATATTTTGTAATTCATTACTGAAGCAAACATGTTTATCTCAACAATTTAAAACTATATATTACATAATATTCACATCATATGTTACATAATTAGGGGCCACAAGGGGCCAGAATGACAAATCTTTGGCACTCTATATCTCGAAATTGGGAAATATTTTGATAAGCAGTTTTGAATAAAAGATGTTCAAGATAAGGTTTTAAACAATATGTAACCTTTTCATTTTTGCTAAACGCCCCCATTAAGGAGTTGAAGGGCCAGCCCCTAAATATTTCTTTTGCATATATCTCGGAAGCGAAAAAGAATTTCAGAATAGCTGTTGAACAAAAATGTTCAAAATCATGAGAGCTATAAGAAGACACCAAGAAAAAAGGACTGGCCCCTCAAAATAGGGGCCAGGACGGGCCGAAAGTCTTTAATCTATATCTCTTTAATGATCAATATTTTAATACACACTACTGAAGCAAAATTTTCGTCTTAACAATTTATTTTTATCATTATATTTGAACAAAAATATCAGTCAAATTCTGATCTCATCTTATCAAAAATCGGACGGAAGACCCACTCGTTGCTCGCAACGAGATCGCATCTAGTTATTATTAGGTCTTCCCACCTTTCCGTGGAAAGACCTATTGATATTCTTCTGTTTCTTATTTTTTATTATTTTTCCGCCGTGTGATTTTGAGTTTCAAGATATATCGAAAAGATTTATAGTCCATAAGAATGTACTCCGTAAAAGATTTTTGCAGTTGACCCTGCGTATACGAACTTTGACTCCTTAAAGAGTTATTACCCCTTTTGCAATGAAAGCTTGTTATCGCTACTCCTTTGAAACAAAATAACTGTAGAGGTATGGAACCTTCACCAATGTCTTCGACTAATTGAGGGGACTCTTCAATCTTTTCATTGCGAAAGTATTCGTCAACCCCTTTTATGAGTTATTGCCCCTGAAAGTTTTTTATGTTTACGAATAATTAAAAATTTTCAAAAGGAAAAGTTGTAGAGACATGGGACCAACTGTATAAGATTCATTGACCTTTGACCTTAAAATATATGCAAAGGTCAAAGGTTAAGGTCATTCAAAATATGAGAAATAAAGCTCTTTTAATATCTCTTTTGTCTTTCAACATATACTAAATATCTTTGCATCATTAATATGTCCTCTTAAAACTATTTCAAATATTTCATGCTTGTCCCCTAAGATTTACCCCTTTAAGAGTTATTGCCCCTTTCACTGAAAACCTTGTTATCGCTACTCCTCCGAAACCGTAAATCGTAGAGACACAAAACCTTCACCAATGTCTTCAGGGTCTTTAGACACAACTTCAATCTATTCAGTGCGAAAGTATCCGATGACCCCTTATATGAGTTATCCCCCTTTAACGTCTCTGTGCTTACTATTAAACCTTATAACTTTAAAACTAAAATTCATAGAAGCATGGGGTCAAGTGCAATGTGACCCTTGACCTTTGACCTTGAATATTTGTTCAAGGTCAAAGGTCAAGGTCATTTCAAAAATTTTTGAATTTTCATTTTTTCTATCTTTCAAGCCATTTATGGATTCTTTTTCTATAAAAATTAACTTCAGAGAGTAAAATATAAAAAATATATGAAATTTAAAGAAGGTGGAAAGACCTCTAATTGTTCGAGAACAATTAGTCTACTAGTTATTTTTATTATTTTTCCGCCGAATGGTTTTTTGTTTCAAAAGTTATCGAAAAGATTTATGGTCCATTAGAATGTACTCCGTAAAAGATTTTTGTGGTTGACCCTGCGTATATGAACTTTGATCCCTTAAGGAGTTACAACCCCTTTCCCAATAAAACTTGTTATCGCAACTCCTTCGAAACCATAAACCATAGAGGTACGGAACCTTCACCAATGTCTTTGACTAATTGAGGGGACTCTTCAATCTTTTCATTGCGAAAGTATTCGTCAACCCCTTTTATGAGTTATTGCCCCTGAAAGTTTTTGATGTTGACAAATAATTAAAAAAATTCAAAATGGTAAGTCGTAGAGACATGGGACCAACTGCATAAGATTCATTGACCTTTGACCTTAAAATATATGCAAAGGTAAAAAGGTCAAGGTCATTCCAAAAATGAGAAATTAAGCTCTTTTCACAACTCTTTTGTCTTTCAACATATACTATCTGTCTTTGCATCATTAATAAAATACTCTTAAATCTATTTCAAAGATTTCATTCTTGTCCCCTAAGCTTAACCCCTTTGAAAGTTATAGCCCCTTGTGCGAAAAACCTTGTTATTGCTACTTCTCCGAAATCGTAAACTGCAGAGACACGAAACCTTCACTAATGTCTTCAGGGTCTTTAGACACAATTTCAATCTATTCAGTGCGAAGGGATCTGATGACCTCTTTTATGAGTTATTGCCCTTTAACGTCTTTGCGCTTACTATTAAACCTTATAACTTTAAAACTAAAAGTCATAGAAGCATGGGGTCAAGTGCAATGTGACCCTTGACCTTTGACCTTCAATATTTATTCAAGGTCAAAGGTCAAAGTAATTTGAAAATTTTTAAAATTTTAATTTTTTCCATTTTTCAAGATATTTCTGGTTTCTCTTGTATAAAAATAAACAGTAGAGAGTTAAATATGAAGAATATATGAAATTCAAAGAAAGTGGAAAGACCTCTAATTGTTCGAGAACAATTAGTCTACTAGTTATCATTATTATTGGTTTGTTTTGGTTTTATATTTATTATTTTTTTTAGAATTATTTCAATGTTTTCTGCTTGTTTGACTTCTAATATCCAAACAAATATGAATAACATTACATGATCAATCAAAGAATTTATAAATATCAAGTATAAATTCAAATTAATAAAATATATCACTTTACGAACAGTTATAAAACATGGGAATTCTGTAAACGCTATACATGTAAAACTTCAGCCTGTGAAACGTTGTACGCGTAATATAAAAACATTATAGTTTAGAGTGTAAGAATCTTAAGTTTGAATAATTAATGTCTTCGATGAGAATCGGTCATTTAAAAAATATGACAATATGAATAGATATTGCTTTTAATTTTTCATTAAACGTTGACACTATAATGGCCAAAAAAGTCATATATAAAGTAAATAAACATAAATACCGTAATCTGCATAGCAGTAGTCTTGCTTGTCCACCCTAGGAACGTAGGAGCATCTACATGCTAGAGCAACCATTATAGAGATCCACCCTGGGACCAGAACTCTGGACTCATGCACGTGACAGGAATTACACACAATTTTGGAACAGAACTTCTTGTTCATTGTCAAATGCTTAAAATGTTCATGAGTAAAGAAGATATTCAAAGATACATTACATGACCAACTTAGCCCTACCCTACCTGGGACCAACTTAGCCCTACCCTACCTGGGACCAACTTAGCCCTACCCTACCTGGGACCAACTTAGCCCCACCCTGCCTGGGACCAACTTAGCCCCACCCTGGGACCTGAGTTCTGGACAAAGGGGAAACAGTCAATTGCACCATTTCAATGAGATATAACAAGATCAAGAAAGGATTCATATGAATCATTCAAAAGTTGTAAAAAAAAAAAAAAACACTTCATAATACACAATTTCATCATTACTTAAAACCTGTGGTAGGCCATTCTTATATGACCTTTGACATAAGATGATACTTTGACCTTAACATATATAAGTTCTACCATGCAATTTCAAAATGTTCTGATCAAGGTTAAAGAATGGGCAGGCAAAAAAAAACTGACTGATGCCCCCCACCTTCCAAACTAAAATTTTCAATGACAGAACATGTCAAACTCACTAAGCTAAGTCGCTGATGAGGCACCCACAAATTAAACCACTAGCTGTAATGTACCTCAGATAAAACACACCAACTCTATCATTCTGCAGCACCATTTATTTCCAGCACTCATCTAATTACATAATATGTTAACATACAAAAGTGTCATAGAGATTGATCTCCTATAAATAACAAAGAGTGAACCCATTCTAAAAACATGACAAATTCTAAAAGCAGCACGATAAACATCCTCTTTTACATAAGCAACATATTCAACAATTTATATGTCCTGCAATTGTGTTTTCTTCCTTAACCTAGTAAAACTTAACAAAATTTGTTCACCTCTTCCTCTTTGTAAAGAACAAGGTACATTAAGCGAATGTGTTAATTGGTACCCTATTTACAACAGTTCATACCACATATCTTTAATTCTATTTCATACTTCAAAATTAGTGTAACTTTTATGATAGAATGGAATGAAATTTTGGTCTTAGTCGTAAGTTCATTTGTAAAACGGACCCCAACTCAATTATTTTTAATTTTTAAGTCATTTCAAGCTATTCTACCGGCCATAGTTATAAGGTCTCGCTTTTAGGAGGGTGCATTTTTGTTTACTGTGTGTTTTTCTATTTTTGTGTGAATACATTGATAAGCTTGAAAATCGAAAATGGCTGAAATTTGACATTTTTAAAGTACATCAGAAAAAGTGAAGGGTAGACATTAGTTATTTTGGATTCTAGGGGGTACCTCAATTCACTTGACTTTAATGAGCGTCTAAACTTTTCCTACCAATGTCAGGTGAGATCTAGCTTCCAAAATGATTTAATGAATCCCTTTTATCGTCTGTTGAATTGCACATAGTTTAAAACGCAGTGAACCTAAACATCCTCGATACATGTACCTAGCATAAGTAACTGAAAGAAATGGATGTGATGATTTTTAGCTAATGATTTTTAATTTGTATGCGAGATGTAACGGAATGGCACGGAAAATCTAGAGAGAACAGAAACTGTGCCAAACTTGTTCTCTCTCGACACTCCATAGTGAAGTACATTCTAATAATTTTTAATATGAAATTAACATTTTTGCGTGTATGTAATGTCACATAATCTAACAAGAATTCAGCATGACTAGAAATATCATGGCATCTACATGTACTCATACCTGTAAACAGAGAATGACTCCTAAGTACATTTTTTCTCCTGTGCAGCCAACTGTTTTTGACCACCTCCATTTCTAACATATCATTGGCCTATTGTGCCATTTAAAAGTTTGAATTTAATATGTTACATCTTACATATCATTTTAAAAAGTAAACGAGCATTTTAATTTTGAACGATATACATGTATAGAATAGGCGGGATCAAGTTATGGTTAAATTATCTAATATTATACTTCCATGGAAAATAATTGAATGTGATTCGTTGAGAAACATTTTAAAAAAAAAAAACACTATTAACCTTTGAATGATGAAACCACGTCCTCATTGAATAGATAGAAAATAGCAGCTTAATATTAGAAATATGACACATTTAGATATATATACAATATTATTTAATGAATCACATTCTGTTAATGCTAACCTAATGTTACATGATGCCTTCACTATTTACAATGAGAAATGGCGTTCCTGTTAGCTTACAAATCATTGTTTAGTATTTTATTCTTCAAAAACAAAAACCATACAGAGATGTTATCAATGATCATAGCCCTCTGATCAATTGAATGCTATCAACTGAGTAACATCTCTTAAAAAATTTAAAATTTCAGTAGTGTGAAATACCAAGGGTTTGATAGGCACATAGGAAACGTTTTTCTAGGGAAGACGACTTTACAAGTAAATTATGCAAGTGAATTCAAAGCAGCTAACTTACTCTAGCAATCAATTCCTACATGATTCTGTGAGTTCTTAACTCCAACTTGATGCATACAAATAAACTACTTCTCGTACAGCTGCTTTAAATAAAAAATAGCATGATAAAACATTCATCTAAAGAATGCAATCACCAACGTCCACAGTTCTAAATTGTATTTTCTTTATGCGATCATATTGTAAATAGCAGTGTCATATAATGTGTAACTATATGCAAGAAGAAACACTTCTTTGAAAATCCTCATCTTTTTTCAATTTTAACCCATATCTCATCTTCTGGATGAGTGACAAGGCCATATACTGGGGTGACGACCTGACCTTCAATCATTCTGATTTTGAATTTTCTAAGCAAGGTCACGAGTCCTATAGTGGCTTCAACATAGGCAAATTTGTATCCAGGACAAATTCTCTTGCCAGCAAATCCGAACGGCTGGAAGGCAAGAGTTGGTCTGGACTTTGTGTTTTCAGGACTAAATCTATCTGGATCAAACCTATGAAAGGAAGAATACACTGTACTGTTTCTCACAAAATTCTTCTTTTTATTTCAACACTTGAAATATTTTCATATTACGATAAATTTCTTATCCTCAAAAAATTTAATTTTACTTATCAGAAAAACGAACAGAAATTGAGTGAAAAAAATTCAAGAAATTAATTTTTTTAGCCCATGTCAACAATGTCTGTGCCCCCGTTTTTGTTTGTTTGTTGTTGTTTTTTTTTTTTGGAGCAAATTCATTGCCATGTACACTGTAACAGTGTTAAGACTACATGTGTTAAGACTACATGTATAAACCCCACCTGCATCAAACTTACAAGTAAATTGCATTTAGGAATGTTCACAAACAAACAGGCTGGAGTACATATTTGACCTACATTTTCTGGATAGGTGACCATGTTTAAGTTTTTTGAGCAGGTCCTTTCCCGGGTAACAATAAGCCCAATTCTATACAAACTTTCATGCATGCCTGCTGCATTTAGAAATGCACACTTCCAGAACATTCATTGGGTACTGTAGATTCCTTATTTTACGTGGGTACTTAATATCGTGAAATGGCCCTTAAACGTCAAATGGCGAGAACAATAATTCGCGAATAGATGATTGATCAACTGATTTTACATGGATTTCAGCACAATAAAAATAAAAACAAGTAATTTTATTTCGCGAGAGATGCTTCTCACGTAATTACGCGATAATTAATTCCTTGCGTTTATTTAGGAATCTACAGTATGAGATTTGTAATCTTTCTGAATACAGTGTTCCAGATTTTGACACACAAACATTTTAATGTTGCTTCTTGGGAAAGTGGTAATACTTACTTGTTGGGAACAGGGTAGTACTTTTCATTTTGCAGACTCACACCAAGAGCATGAATCACAGGAGTCTAGAAAATTAAAAATAAAAGATCCGCTTGTGTTATCAACATATGTACATGTAAATGCTACTACATATTCATCTGTTCTTATCAATTTCACAGTTAAAGTTATCTGAATTTTCCAAACATCACCATACAACTTTTCACATGAATGCTCAATATTCAATTTGCAGTAAATTAATGTGAAATACAAAAAATGCAAATTAAACTAATTTGTAAACTAAATTAAATTATGTTCACACAACAGTTTTTTACTAAAAAGTTGCGTAAGTACATGTACCTATATCTGACCACAGACATGTGGCGTGTGGCTAATGTGTGCTATTATGCATGTGTCAAAATTTAATTCCAAATAGCTTCATGTAGCATTCACACAGAGTTAATGGAAAGTAATCTGATGCGCAGTAAATTAATTCGAATTTAACTAATTTGCAATAAATCTCCATTTAAACGTGGTTCAAATTTAATTCTCAGTAACTTCCATTTAGATTCAACACTCCATGTGAACTGGGCATTACAATATTAATTTCTATAAAGCTCTCTTTCACACTTCCTCATAAGAACGTTAAAGGTGTCTTACATTTTTTGGAATTTTATGCCCTCCGAGTTCAGAGTCGAAATCCTGATACCTGGCAGCCCAGGGGCCTACAACAGCACACCTTAAAGTCTCATCTATAACCTGGTGTAGGTACCTAACAAATATAAAATCACTGAGATAAAGAACATGGTGTCAGATGTTTCCTTTACTTCACATTACCAAATGGTGAAAAGAACAGTAGGTAGCATTGACGTGGCTCTGATATTTAACACGACAGTAAAGTCCAAGATAATATCAGACCAATTAAAACTTCAATTCCAAAGAATGAAAAATGTAAAAATAAATGAACACTCTCAAAAAATCCACAAACAATATAAAATTTGTTTACAGGGCATAATATATGGACTTCTAGAAATTCCAGAGGTGGGATCAGGTGCCCTGGAGAAATAAAATCCCCTTAATCAAGTGACAAGGGTATAATTATATCTTATGTAAAGGATTTTAAATCCATTGTGAAAGAAATCATGGGTGGAAAAAGAATATCATTTGGAATAATGCAAAAATAACAACAAAACTTTAAAAATCTGAGTTTATATTATGAATTAATTAATAGAAAAAGTAACTAATTTTCAAAAAATCTTTGTACTGAGGTTTACATTCTACTTACACTCAATCTTTGTCTGTACTGGGGTTTACATCCTATCTAGTGCACTAAATCCTTAACTGTACTAAAAGTCTTTATTCTACTTACACTATATCTTTGTCTGAAGTTCAACATAGCTCTATACTACATTCTACTTACACTAAATCTCTGGCTGGAATGTGCTCTACAGCCTTCTTACCCTTCTTACACTAAATCTATGGATGTACTAGGAGCTACATTGTACTTACACTAAATCTTTGTTTCTATTAGGATCTACACCCTACTTACACTAAATCTTTGTCTGTATTAGGACCTACATCCTACTTACAATAAATCTTTGTCTGTATTAGGACCTACATCCTAATTACACTAAGTCTTTGTCTGTATTAGGACCTACATCCTACTTACACTAAATCTTTGGCTGTATTAGGGTCAACATCCTACTTACACTAAATCTTTGGCTGTATTAGGGTCTACTTCCTACTTACACTAAATCTTTGTATTAGAACATACATCCTACTTACACTAAATCTTTGTCTGTATTAGGACCTACATCCTACTTACACTAAATCTTTGTCTGTATTAGGACCTACATCCTACTTACACTAAATCTTTGGCTGTATTAGGGTCTACTTCCTACTTACACTAAATCTTTGGCTGTATTAGGGTCTACTTCCTACTTACACTAAATCTTTGTCTGTATTAGGACCTACATCCTACTTACACTAAATCTTTGGCTGTACTAGGGTCTACATCCTCTTCTCCAAGAACCTTTTTGATTTCTTTGTAGACTTTATCCTGTATATCCTGGTGAGTGGCCAGAAAATACACTGCCCATGTTAGAACTGTGTGATAAAAAGTATACTGCCCATGTTAGAACTGTGTGATAGAAAGTATACTTCCCATGTTAGAAATGTGTAATAGAGAGAATATTGTCCATGTTAGAACTGTGTGGTACATGTAGAAAGTATACTGCCCATGTTAGTGTGATAGAAAGTATACTACCCATGTTAGAATTGTGTAATAGACAGTATACTGCCCATGTTAAAATTGTGTAATAGACAGTATACTGCCCATGTTAGAACTGTCATCAACTGACAAAGTTTGATGATTTTAAGCCAATTAGTACCAGGGATATTTAATTAAAGCCATAAAATTTTAAAAGTAGGTCATGGTGACCTACTTTTTGGATGACATTCTTCAAAGACCCAAATATGCCTCAACTGACAAAGGTTGATGATTTTAAGCCAATTAGTACCCGAAATATTTAATTATAGCCATATAAATTGAAAAGTATGTCACAGTGACCTACATTTTTGTCGACCTACTCTGGGGACCCAAGATATATCAACTGACAAAGTTTGATGATTCTAAGCCAAAAAGTACCCAAAATATTTAAATATAGCCATAAAATTTCAAAAGTAGGTCATGGTGACCTTCTTTTCAGTTGATGTACTCTGAGAACCCAAGATGCATCAACTTACAAAGTTTTATGATCATGAGCCTTAAAATGTCCGAAATATGCCTCTAAAATGCTTTGAAACCGAATACCTGCAAAGTTCAAAAAGTAGGTCACTGTGACCTACTTTCTAATAAATATGTTTTATGGTCCCAAGATGCATCATCTTACAAGATTTAATGACTCTAAACCTCTCAGTATTTGAATTAATGACCTTAAATGTTTTGAAAAAGATTAGCCATAAAATTCAAAAAGTACGTCAAGGTGACTTACTTTTTAGTTGATGTACTCCGAGGACCCAAGATGCATCAACTGACAAAGTTTGATGATCATAGGCCTTAAATTGTTCAAAATATGCCTCTAAATCAATTTGAAAAAGAATGGCTGCAAAATTTTAAAAGTAAGTCACCGTGACCTAATTTTGAGTCAACATGATATGACGTCCTAAGATGCATCAACTGACAAGATTTGATGATCCTAGTCCTTATAGTAAGCAAAATATCAATGTTTCAATAAAATGTAATTTTTGGTCAAATTTGAAGTGACCTTGAGACCACGCCCTTTCCAAGGGTGTTGCCTTGAACAATTTTTAATCTCCAGCATATCCTCTTCTTTTTGTTTAAGTTTGGTGATAATCTGCCCAGTGGTTCTTGAGAAGAAGAATTTTTAGCAACCAGTACTTTTGGTTTTATTTACCTAATTATCTCCCCTTTTTTAATGGTCACAATCCTGGTTTTTGTATAAACGGGAGCCCTTGGGCCAAGGATACCCTGTGACAAATTTGACAACAATTGGCCAAGGGGTTTTTGAGTTATGGCCCATATTCTAAAAAGTTTACACACAAATGGCCATAGCATTAGCTCTTTGAACCTTTGGCGCAGAAGATCTAAAAATGCACTGCCCATGTTAGAACTGTGCAATACAAAGCATACTACCCATGCTAAAACTGTGTACTAGAAAATACACTACTGTGTAATAGAAAGTATACTGCCCATGTTAGAATTGTGCAATAGAAAGTATACTGCCCATGTTATAATTGTGTAATTGACAGTATACTGCCCATGTTAGAACTGTGTGATAGACATTACACTGCCCATGTTAGAACTGTGTGATAGAAAATACAACATGAAAGACTATAACCATGTAATATTATACAAGTCTGTTTGTCTGCTTGTTCTGCTGGTATGCTGCATCTTTTTTGCATGAAATATTTACTTTGCCATCTATTTGTCACTTTAAAAAACTTTATCATGTTCTGTAATATGGAAAAATAAGGTGAGACTCAGCACTTTAAACATGTTTGTTAGCAATAAAATATATAATATTGATATTTATAGCAAGAATCTAATCCATACAATTGAAAAAGTAAAATTATGATGATCTAGGAAAATTGGCCCATTTCATTTAAAGATGATTCTAAAGTATCGACACAATAAAACTATCGACACAATAAAACTTGATGCAGTAATTTTACTACTTCATGTAGTAATTAATTAAGTAAGAGAATGTTACTTTACTATTTTATATAGTTATAAAGTAAGTAAATTTAACCATTTCCTGTGGTGTGGAACCCTCCGATCACGTAAGAAATGGCATCTGAGAAAATCTGCTCCTCATCTGTGGTGCTATCTAGTAGTGCATCTATTAATAAATACTCATTTGGGTCTTTTCTGTGTTTCTTGCAGTTTTTTATTATTTTCTTGACTTGCTCTGACATTCTTTTCTTTGCTGAAAGAGAAGGCATAAAGTAGCTCATGGACACCTCTTTCACTGAACTTTCATGCATTAAAAAATTTATTACTTCATCTGCTTTGTACACAGAGCAAAAAAAAGCAACTATGTTCAGTAAATTGTCCTGCACAGTCTTTGCTTTGCTTGAATTTGAAAAACCAATAAATCAATGATAAAATACTGTATGTTTTCTTATGTGGTATATTTAAAATTTAGTACAAGTTGAATGTGATGACTGATTGGTGACATCATGACTTGGTGAAGTAAACTTTCACATTTCCCACTGAATAGATACTGTACATGTACTTTTTTCCATGGGGTCATAATTATGCAGAATAACACTTTCTGTTCAATTAGTGGGTAGAAAATTACACAGATTTCTCAAACTGTCATTCTATTTCTTAAGTGTACTGTAAGTATGCTGTGGAAAATCTCCATGGAAAATTTGTGACCGAGTGTGTATACATAGTAAAAATTAAGCCCAGGTGGAAAGAAAGTAGGCCTACAGTATAAATATCTCTAACCACTGAGCAAAAATAAGACTTAACCTTCTTCAAAAGCCTTCATTCTTGAACTTCCTTCCTCAGGGAAACCCTCTGTTAACCTCCTTTCCATTTCCTGCCATGCCTATAAAATAAATAAAAATATTCTGAAATACAATGTATATATCCTTAAAAAAAGTAAATAATATTTATACACATCAAATAAATTATCTTCTTTTTACAGTAAAATAAGGCCATTCCAAGATTTTTTTCTTTGTTAAGCATCAATCCAAAATTCAAAAACTTGCTTTTCTATCTGGAAAAAAAAAACACACAAACCAAAATGGAAAAAAAACCGCAACATTTTAAGCACAAATCTAGAATTTCTCATCATTTGAAAATTCTCCTTGCATTGTGACTTAGTTAAACCACTTAGTTTATTGAAACAAAAAATATTTTTTATTTTATATTTCAAAACCAATCATTCACAGACGCTAAACACAGAAAAAACTTGGAATGGCCTAATAAATGAATAACCATTTGCATTTTCCTAAAGTTTCGTTTTACTGAACTTTCATTGAATTGAAGGAATGATTACTGCAGAATCTTCATTTTTCTTGAGGTACAGTGTTTGTTGACTTAGTGTCTCCTTACAAACAACATTTTCTTTAATACATGAAGTGTAAACCAATTGTTATTAGCGACAACTTTAAATCACAATTCATCACTTTGATATCAATCCACAACAATTAATCTTTGCAACTGAGGAAACAATCTACATAGTTATATAAATTATAATGAAACAAGAGATGTTTGTGAAATACTTATGCCCCCCACCCAAAATAATTGGAATTTTTCCAAGTCCAACAGGTATAACTCTCTTTAAAATTGCTCGATCGTACCCAAAACAGAACTTAACCTAGATATTCTTATGATAAATCCATTTCAGTTTGTGCAATCTCTGCGAAGAAAATGAACAGAAACTGCAAATAATTGGAATTTTTCTTAAGTCCAAGGGCATAACTCTGTCAAAAATTGCTCGATCGTATATAAAACAGAACTTGGCCTAGATATTCTTATGATAAATCTGTATACCAAATTTCATTTCAGTATGTGCAACCTCTGTGAAGAAATGAACGGAAACTGTTGGAGGACCGACAGACCGACCGGTCCACAGACTGACTGACAGACAGCAGCAAAGCAATATGCCCTCCTTTCTTTGAAGGGGGGCATAAAAAATGATTCTTGATGATTCAAATTTGAGCATAAAAGGAAGGTCGAGAAACTCACAGAGATTCCTCGCACACAAAATAAGGTTGGTATACAGTCCACCTAGATCAGATACCAGTTACCCAGGCTGTTTATTGAATTGAACCCTCTGTAAACAGTGGAGCCTTGTTAATCTGGAATGCTCATGTTCCCTAAGGAAATCATCTAGATACTGGTTAATGAAACACACAGATTAACTAAAACTGCCCTGTTAAATTAGCAGATATAAATCTCAATTTTGATCCAAACAAATTTCATCTGGAAGATGAAGTGTCCATAATACTAGCATCTGATTTACCTAGACATGACTGCATACAAGTTACCCAAGAAATTATGCCCTTATGATCCAGTAAAGTTTTGATTGACCACAAACACTGATCCCCCTTCCCCCCCCCCCTCAAAAAAAAATTACAAAGTTTTGATAGACCCTCACAAATTACAGCTTTTTGATTGACCCAAACACTGACCCCCATAAATTCACAATGACACTACATTATCTGCGTACAATGTCATACTGATGGTTGAACTCCAGAATCTGCTCATCCGTCCAGGCTTTACTACCAAACAAGTTGACCAGCGCAAGCTTCAAGGCAAACCCAGTCATGTACTGAGCCAAAGGGATATGTTCGTCTTTGGCCATACTCGACCACTTCTTCACCAAGTTATCTGAAATCTGTGGACAATGAAAGAATAGTTACTGGTTTAGAAGAGAAAAAAAAACGTCACAATAAATAAACATAGTTTTTCTGATTGATTAAGAATTACACCTTAATATAAATGCTGTTTGTTTGTTTTTCTCTGATTTAGAAAAGATTACACATTAATATAAAAACTGTTAAACAAAATATTTATCAGAATTGATACCAAACACTGCCCTTTACCTAGTTAAACACTTTGAATTTTCTCTCCAATTAATTATAGTGCTCTTATTCTGTTTGCCTCATATTATGTTACAGTGCATTCTAAAAATCAGATCATACAGGAAATAACAGACATCTTGTAAATCAATAGGTAAGTCGCATCAGCTTTTTTGGGGCAAATAGGTAATGACGTAATCACATGAACATATTCCAAATAACTTCCCTGTTTGACTTTTTATTGTTAATTGATTTCTCATAAAGCAAAGGTTCCTTAATTCTTTTTGAAGAGAGATATTTTTCTCTCAAACACAAACAAGGCTTATTAACTGAGACTTATCTATTGATGAATTTTTCACAGAATTTGTAACTTTTAATTAACTACCTTCCTGTTTTGTTAGATACAGTAAAACTTGGTTAAAAAAGAAGTCATCACTGGAACCTCAGAATTTGCTTCTTTAATTGTAAGACCAAGACTCTTTATATCCTTGTTAGGAAGTGAAGAGTTTTCTACAGGATTCAGTTTCCTTATAAATAAAACTTCTTTATAAGCAAATTCTTTGTATCTGAGTTTTACTGTCATGGTAATGTAGACAATTACATACCAACTCTTCTTTTGCTGTGTATTAATTATGTATGTAATTATTTATTTCCTATCTAGTTTGTAACACGAGATTTGATTGGTTAGCAAGCCATAAGTTTCTGTACACCTGGCTTGAGATGGGGGGAAAATAACATGACGTCACAATGTATAGTTTCTCTATCACAAAAAGCAAATAACATGATGTCATGATGCATTGTAGCACCCAGTAAATCATATGGATAGTTTGAAACCCCGTTGATTAGACTTGAGTTTACAAAGAATTTATTTGGTTACATAGGAAATTTATTAAATTTGTCATCCAGGTCCAATCAAGGGTGTATGGGGATATATGGTATGGAATACAACCTGTCAGTGGGTAAAACCCTGTACACCCTTGACTGAGCCTTAACTAATAGTATGTACCTCCTGTATGGCTAGGTAGTAGTGATGTAGGTAATTATATACTTACTTCCTGTATGGCTGGGTAGTAGTGATGTAGGTAATTATATACTTACTTCCTGTATGGCTGGGTAGTAGTGATGTAGGTAATTATATACTTACTTCCTGTATGGCTGGGTAGTAGTGATGTAGGTAATTATATACTTACTTCCTGTATGGCTGGGTAGTAGTGATGTAGGTAATTATATACTTACTTCCTGCATGGCTGGGTAGTAGTGATGTAGATAATCATGGGCCAGTATAGAATCATAACACTTCCTACGTTTTCTACCGTCAGCCTTGTTGGCGTACTGAATCGACTTCTCTCCAATCAATGGCTTAAAAAGCTCAAATAAGGAAGCTGTTAGGAGAAATCCATGAAGCAATGTGAAGAATCAGAATTCAAATATATTCCAAGCCTTAAGTCATTTTTTTTTCTCTTCAAAATGATACACCTCCTTGAGAAGAAAAGAGTAAGTTATGAAACATGGAAGTTCATTCCAAACTGTGCATTTCAATCACCCATAACTTTTAACTATTAGATTCTTTATTCATATTAACGTCTTTGTATTGAAAATGTTAATTAAATGCCAAAGGATTATATTATTAAGATATTGTTACATGATAAAAATGTTCTTTAATTTTGAAACCAAGTTTATAATCTATGATACAGTACAAATTTTTTTTTTGCATGCAAGTTCCATGAATTTCTTTTTTCACGACAATTTCTTGCCACAAACCAATTCTTTAATTAGGTTTATTGTAGAATGTTTCCATTTTTTTCAAAATTTCACAGACTGGGATCGCAAATAAAAGTTGCTGTAATTAGGATAGTTGTTTTATGGTTAACGTACGTGGTCGATCAAACACAGCTGCGTGCTGTTTGAAGAGTTCCGGAGAACAGATGCTGACGACCAGTTCCTGTCCCATCCAGAAGGCTGTGATGTCCCCGTACTGTTTGTGAAGCTCCAGGAGGTACTGATGTAGACTCCCAGCCCGGGCAATGTCAGACAGGTTACCATCCCTATAAGCCATAATGATGAATTATGCAATAAAAATTGTTATAATTAACCTCATTAAAAAATTCAAACAACCAATTTTTTATACATATATCAATGATTAGTTTCTTTCAGGGAATAGTTTTCAAGTTTAACATTTTATTTTTCAAATCTTCAAAAAAAAAAAAACCTGTCCTACTAGGACTACTATGATTCCCTCCATCCCCATCCGAAACCCCATCCCCTGGGACTAAAAATAGGGCATACTTTGAAATGAGCTCTTCCATCTTTCAAAAGCATGATTCTGAATCTCCTGAGGTACTAAGCTGAAGGATGTAACACTTGGTGTTACATGTATACATGAAGAACCTTTTTTTAAAAATTAAAAATTTGATCATCCACAGTTGTAGCTTTAAAAAGTCATTGTCCATTAATGTCCAAAGTCCTTCTTACTCCTGGGTAACCTGACCTTGACTTTATACAAACATTCATGGCTAAAGAGTATGGCCTTGACCTTATCAAATTACATTACATGCAGGGGTCATAACATTTTATATGATCATTATTAACCCAGAGGATAAGTATGACCTTATGATGAGAACAAGAATTTTGGCACTTAAACTCAATGACCTTGACCTTTTTAAAATGTTCATGGTGCAGTGTTGTGTGACAAACCTGATGGTCACAAGCAACTTTTATGCTTAGTATGAATTCAAAAAATTTACATAAAATGAACTGTTGACCAGTGCTAGCCCAGGAGGTATGAATCTCTGGCTCAGGTTAGCTTATAACAATGTATAAATCAAATTAAAATTAATCGAAATTTAAAAAGAAATATCACTTACTCTTTTGTGGTCGGCTCTGGGCCTGGTATACTTGTTATTCTTTTGGATCCCTGAAACATAAATTTCATAACTTTATATAAAAATCAAGAATTATTATAATTATGTATGTAAAGAAGAATTTGAAATGTTGGGTCTGTTTTACATGTTTTAATTATGAACAGAATATACATTCTTTAAGAGTGATTCAAAATTTTGCTTCTTAATCTAAATAGCTGAAATATATTTTCAAAAAAAAGGGAGAAATTTCTCAAGAAGCATATTGGATTTCCAAGGGTGTCAGGTCTTGATCATGAAGCCTGTTTTAATTTCTGGGACACTGAGGGTATCACATATAAGCTCCCCCTCCAACTTTGTTGATGTGAGTTAAAAACTCAGAAAGAAAGTAGCCTGTATGTGGCCTTTGACCCTAGAAGAGCATGCTAAAACAGTCAGTATGGTGTCTGCATGGGGTTCCTTTGGAGAAATTTGTGAAAAATTAAAACAACTAGAGCAATGCTCGTTGCAAAGCAACGAGTAGGTCTTCCGTCCGATATTCAGAACTGCTTGTAAAATGGGTAAATGATAAATATACCATTCATTAAAAAGAATGCCTCCAGATCAAAAATTATGTCAATCTGTATTTAGTATTTTTATTATTGAAATGTATTCTGATTTTTTGGTGAAATAAAGCAAGTTTAGACTACTTCCGGTTTGACAGGAAGAGACCCCAATCGACAGAAAATTGTGTCAGAAGTCTTGGGTGAATTATATCATTTGATTTTATGTTAATATCTGCAGAAATACGTCATTTATAGTTACTTCAGGTTTAATCGGAAGTTGACAAAAGTGATATTCTCGACAGGAAATACGGTCGGACTTCCTCTGTGACATGTATAATTCAATTCAATGCCAATATCTGTGAAAATAGGCAATTTTTGACTACTTCCTGTTTGGCCGGAAGTGTCGTCATTTGACGAATTTTGATGATCTCACTAGGTTCTACTTGTCATTGTGAACAACTTTGCTTCTTTGATGTATTACAAATTCTCAATACTTTTTGAGAAATCAGGAAAAAACTTTCGGCCCCTCTAGATCCCTTATTTTAGGGGCCAGCCCCTTTTCCAAGATATCACTTGAAAGATCTTTTAATTTTGCACTACTTTTGTTCTATATGTTATAACAAAATATTTCGAAGTTAAAAGATATTGTAGAAAAAGTGTTCGAAATTTTGAAACTCTCAATATGCCAATTTTTGAGCCATAGCGAGCGACGGCGCTTTGTACTCCCGGTGGTTATAAGATACAAAATTCACTTCTTCGTAGGTTGCTCTATCATCACTGAAAATTTCATACTTCTATGATCATTGGTTTTTGAGAAAACGCTCGGACAAAGTGACCCTCTTAAAATCACTAAATTGCGGAAATCTCCGAACCGGAAGTGACGTCATCAAAATTAAAAAAAAAAAATTTCTAGATTTTTTGATGTTCTATCTGTCCTGAAAGTTTCATGAAAATCAATCAAGCCATTTTCGAGAACTCGCGTGCACAAAATCGGTAAGAAAAAAAAAATAATAATAACTAGAGCAAAGCTCGTTGCAAAGCAACGAGTAGGTCTTCCGTCCAATTTTCAGAAGCACTGCTTGAAAGATGGGTAAATGAAAATAAACCATTCGTTAAAAAGAAGGCATCCAGACCAAAAATGATGTCGATCTGTATTTTGTATTTTTATGATTCAAATCTATGCTGATTTTGTGAATAAAGCAAATTAAGACTACTTCTGGTTTGACCAGAAGTGATCCCAATCGACAGAAAATTCGGTCGGAAGTCTTGAATTAAGTAAATCATTTGATTTTATTTTAATATCTGCAGAATTAAGTCATTTATGGTTACTTCCGGTTTAACCGGAAGTTGACAAAAGTGACAATTCTCGACAGGAAATACGGTTGGAGGTCCTCTGTGACATGTATAATTCAATTTAATGCTAATATCTGTGAAAAAAGGCAATATTTGACTACTTCCTGTTTGGCCGGAAGTGGCGTCATTTGACGAATTTTGATGATCTCACTAGATGCTACTTGTCATTGTGAACAACTTTGCTTCTTTGATGTATTACAAATTCATAATACTTTTTGAGATATCAGGAAAATACTTTCGGCCCCTCTAGATCCCTTATTTTAGGGGCCAGCCCCTTTTCTAAGACATCATTTGAAAGACCTTTTAATTTTGCACTACTTTTGTTCTATATGTTATAACAAAATGTTTCCAAGTAAAAAGATATTGTAGAAAAAGTGTTAGAAATTTTGAAACTCTCGATATGCCAATTTTCGAGCCATAGCGAGCGTCGAAGCTTTGTACTTCCGGTGGTTATAAGATACAAAGTTCACTTCTTCATAGGTTGCTCTATCATCACTAAAGATTTCATACTTCTATGATCATTGGTTTTTGAGAAAACGCTCGGACAAAGTGACCCTCCTAAAATCACTAAATTGCGGAAATCTCCGAACCGGAAGTGACGTCATCAAAATTAAAACAAGAGGCCCATGGGCCATTTTGCTCACCTGAGTAACTTTGG